ACTTACTTCATGTAGCATAATACTCCTGAGGTCCATCCATGTTGCCACAGGGAAGACGTCATTCTTTTTTTGTAGCCAAATAGTATTCCATTCTCTCTCTATACCAGTTTCTTTATCCAATCATCCACGGATACACACTTAGGTTGTTTCCATATCTTGGTTATTGTAAATAATTCTGCAGTGAACATAGTGGCGCACGTATTTTTTCACATTAGTGTGTTCGTTTTCTTCAGATAAATACTCATAAATGGGACTGCTGGATCATATGGTAGTTCTATTTTTAATTTTTTGAGGAAGCCCCATACTGTTTTCCATAGAGGCTGCACCAATTTACATTCCCACCAACAGTGTAAATGGGCTCCCTTTGCTCCTCGTTCTCACCAACACTTGCTATTTCTTGCCCTTTTGACGACGGCCATTCTGACAGGTGTGAGCTGATATCTCATCGTGGTTTTGATTTGCTGCAGTCCCCGACTATCACTATGGATTTGTTTATTTCTCCTTGAAGTTTTTATCAGTTTTTGCTTCGTGTATTTTGAAGCTCTGATGTTAGGTGCCTAAACAGGATTGTTTTATATTCTCAGAGAATCACCCCCCTTGTCTTTATGCAATATCTCTCTGAAGCCCTTGTTCTAAAGTCTACTGTGTCTGACCTTAATATAGCTTTCCAGTTTTCCTTTGACTCCTGTTAGCATGGTATATCTTTTCTAACCTTTTACTTTTAACCTATGTTTTTAATTTTCATAATGGGTTTTTGTAGATAATAGGTAGCTGCATCTTGTTTTTTCATCCAATTTCACAATTTCCAAGTCTTTTCACTGATATACTGAGATCACTCACATTTAATGTGATTGATGTAGCTGGATTAAAATGTACCTCTTGCTGTTTTCCATTTGTTCCATCTGGGTTTTTTGTTTCTTTTTCCCTCCTTTTCTACCTCATTTTGGGTTAAGTGTTTTAAATTACATTTTAACGCCTCTACTGACATTATTTACACTTCTTTAAAAACTTTTACTAATAATTGTCCTAAAGTTTACAATATACATCTTTAAGGACTCAGTTTCTATCTCCAAATAGCATACTCCAAATACTATAATATGGGAAGAATTTACACAGTATATTCCTAATACCTCACTCCCATCCTTTGCAGTATTTTTACATATGTTATACGTGCAGAATACTATTGTTGCTTTAGTTAGTTATGTTTTACGGTAATTAAAAATGAGTAAAAAATAAAATTTATTTTATCTTCATTTATTCCACTTCCAGTGCTCTTCATTTCTTTGTGCAGATCCAAGTGTTATGTCTGACATCATGTTCCTTCTACCTTTACAAATTCCTTTAGGATTCTTATAGAACAGATCTGCTGGCAATACATTCCCATAGTTTTTGTCTGAGAAAAATCTTTGTATCTCCTTCATTTCTGAAAGATACTTCCCACTGTGTGTACCATTCTACGCTGATGGTTTCTTTCCTTTGAAGATGTTACTCTATCGTGTTCTAACGTTCACAGTCTCTGAAGAAATGTCTCCTGTAATTCTTACTCTTATCTTTGTTTTTCTGTAATCTATCATTTTCCTCTGGTTGCCTTCAAGATATTCTCTTTGGTTTTATTTTAGTTTGAATGTGATATGCCCAAGTGTGTGGTGTTTTTCTTTTTTTCTTTTTTTTTTGTATTTACGCTACTTGATGTTCTTTGAGTCTGGAAAATCAGCCATCATTTCGAGTATTTTTCCCGGGATTCCAATTACTCATATGTTGTATCATTTAATCTTGTCCCCAAATTCTTAAAAGGCTCTATCTTGTATGTTCCTTTCTCTTTGTGTTTCAGCTGTGTAATTTCTATTTATCTATCTTCAAGTTTACTGATTCTTTTCTTGGTTGAGTGCCCACCAAAGGCATGTATTCATCTCCAGCACTTCTAACACTTCCATCTGATCCTCTCTTTCGTGTTCCATCTCGATGCTATGATTACTTCGGCGGTTTCTGCATGTTACCTACTTTGTCCATTAGAGCCTTTAATGTATTTATTGTTCAGAGTTATTTCCAACATCTGTGTCCTACCGGACTCTTGTTCTTGTTCGGATGACTGCTTTGTCTCTTAGGAGGTTTTTTTCCTTGCTTTGCATATGCTTCATAATTTGCTGAAAAGTGAACATGTATAAGACAGTAGGGGCTGAGCATGGCTTTCCTTCCACTAGGTCTGTGTTCCGGTTAATCTAATTAAACTTTAGGCCAGGTCTGAGGTTTGTTGTTGCTATGGTTTCACTCACTGTATGACAGCTTTCAGATCCCTCTAGTGACACTGTGCTTCAGGTGGAGGCTGGTTTCCTGAGAGCTCTTTTTTCCAACATCTGCTCCACTTCCAGGCTTTGGTCTTCCCTGCACTGTGCCTCAGAGAAGGTCTGTCTCTTGTAGGTGACTTGAATCAGTCAGTCACAGGATCCAGCACTTACCTCACTTCTCCTTGCAAGTGTGTGCCTCTTCTCAGATTTCAGGCCTGCTGGCTGCCCTGTAACCTCAGCACTCTGACGGGTTCAAGAAAGAACACGAACTTGCTGCCCGTCTGGCTTTTTTCCTCGTAAGTTTGGAATGATGCTCTTTCCAGCTCTCCCCGAGCAGAAACCAAAGCACTCTCACTCTTGAGTTAGTTCAGTGTATGAATCATCTTTCACTTGGGCTCTGCATCACCCTCGCAGTAGAACGTTCAGTTTTCCCCAATTTCCCCAATTACTTCTCTGGCAGCTGGCGTTGGTCTGTATGGCTGAGGAAGGGACTTTACATCTCTTTGTTGTTCCTTGCCCTTCCGTAATAAGTTTAAAAGTTTCCCTTCTTTTTTTTAAAAAAAATGTATTTATTTTATTTGTTTATTTTTGGCTGCATTGGGTCTTCGTTGCTGCACGTGGGCTTTCTCTAGTTGCGGCGAGCAGGGGCTACTCTTCGTTGCGGCGCACGGGCTTCTCATTGCGGTGGCCTCTCTTGCTGCGGAGCATGAACTCCAGGTGTATGGGCTTCAGTAGCTGCGGCACGCAGGCTCAGTAGCTGTGGTTCATGGACTCTAGAGTGCAGGCTCAGTAGTTGTACCTCACGGGCTTAGTTGCTCCGTGGCATGTGGGATCCTCCCGGACCAGAGATCGAACCCGTGTCCCCTGCACTGGCAGGCGGACTCTTAACCACTGCGCCACCAGGGAAACCCAAAAGTTTCCCTTCTTCCTCTATTCTAAAGCATAACCTGCCTTTATAAGAAAGGTAAACATACATACTTAAAACCTTATGTTCTTGTGTGCTCCAGCACCCTGTATATAATAAAATATATATACAATGACCATTTAGTATTTTCCTTTTCATTGGTGTATATCTCTACTCAATTTCTAATATTCGAATTACAACGTTTTCTATCTTTAAGTCACCTTCTTGTTTCTCTTCAGTAAAGAGTAATAAAGATTTTTTTACTAGCTCTTTAAACTTGTAGGTCTTAAGCTGTTAATAAAAACAAGACGCCCAAATAACATTAGTTCTCCAAAGTTATTCCAAATGGCATAACTTCCCCACAAAGTGGCATCCTATGTGTATTAGTCAAATATAGCACATAGCTAAGCAGTAAGAAAATTTCAGTTTCTAAAATAGCAGCCTAAGTACACAGGGTTAGGTAAAGCTTAAATTTTATAAAATGTTGAATGATTGAACATGGATGATGCTTAAATATATAGCCTTCAGAACAACAGTACTGATGGTATTACTAGACCAATGCAATGACAGGTGATAAGAAACGGAATAAAGCAGGAGGTTAGAAAGGATTTCTACCCTGAGAAGAAATTCCAGAGGTCAGGATGTAAGATTGTGGCACTAACATGAGGTCGTAGGCCAAGGCAGCAGCAAGTAGCACTGAGTGGATCAGACAATGAAGAAAACATCTAGAAATTTTAGATTAAAATCTCCTCAAAGAATTTTCTCTGGCAGGATATGGAATAATGATACACAACAAGAAAGATATTTAAGATAAATTCTTTTGTGGGGGAGATCTGATGGTTTCACGGGACCAAAAAAGGTTGTCATTTCTTCCTTGTGCCCTTACGTCTACAGCAAAAGAAACAAACAGAACTTGAAACCTCCTGCCAAGATGAATAAGAACCCAAAAAACAAAAGGACGGGACTTGCTGTGTCTGGAGGGTGTCCTACGGGCTCCCAGTGATATCACCTGTAGGAGCAGCAGTTTGATATTTTTCTTGTGGCAATCATATCAAGTCCTGAAAAGTACAGCTACTATTATTATTATTGACTGAAGGGAAGAATTTTCACCCTACTGTGTAGAACACCCACATTTGACGGTGGTAGGGACCATCAAGGACATTTAGGTGGCCAAAATCTATAACGACTTCCCAAATTATATTGACATTAACATTCAAGGAGAAAAATTAAGAGAAAGTTATCTAAGTTAAGTAGTTAGCATAATTTGATCTCTATATTATAAAACTTTATATATACAGAACTATATAATTCTGTATACAGAAGCACGCAGGTTAGCTTCTCAAAATAACGTCAACCATCACGACTGATCCATTTCCTCTGGGGTACTCCCTACCTCACATTTGAGAAAAGTAAACATGTAATCAAGAAAAAGGCCAAGTTTTTCATTCAATTTAGGTCACAAACATTCTCCATTTGTTTGAAATGAAAGGGAGGGATTATCATTTTAATATACTTATTATCTGAAATGTATTCTAAAATTACCTCTTTTGGTTTACAGATAGCTCATATGGAGGGAATCTACGAATTGGGTGGAGTTAGCAGAAAAGTCAATTCTTTAGTAGAAGTATACTGTGAATACATTCTAATACCATTTAGCTTTCGGGACAGTATTTGCTGCTGCCATTGTTATTATTAGTAGTAGTACTGTTACTTTTGTTATCTGGGCACGTAAACCTGAACAGCAGCAGCCCAGAGTCGTGGCTTCGTGAGGGCCGCTCTGGGAGGGGGACGGGGCGACCCTGCTGACTCACCACCACGCTGTCCCGGGCCGGTCTCCACCACTTGCTTCTTTGGTGATTTGGCCCTTGACTCGATGTACAGCTGCTGGCCTAGATTCTTGATTTTGTTTACACTGGCATAGACCTGCTGCAAAGTCAACTTAGGGAAAAGAATGATAACCAATGTTTCAAAGATTACAAAAATGTGCATTAAAAGATACATAAACGAAACACATTTGACTTTTGGTTCTCTGTAGACAGAATGACTGAAAGCACAGTAATAGCATATTAATTCAGTCTCCCGCTGCACCACAGCGCACGAGGAGCAGTGAAGCTTTACAGCAATCTGTCCACAACACGCTCATTTTTAGGAAGCACACAATTGACCCAAATATCACCTTCTAAAGGTGATATTTTCTTTTTAGAGACATTTTCCCAAACCGGAATGCATCAGAATGTCTATTACCAGATGAGATCTTCCAGACGAGAACTAAGAAGCCACATGTGTCGAGGTACAGAACCAGCACCGACACGTTATGGTTAACAACACAGGAAGAAAAGGACACGTGCTCAGAAGCACACGTGTGCTCGCTCACCGGTGCCTTCTGCACCTCCTCCATGCAGCGCTCGCTGGACTCACTGGAGGATGCGATGCTGAGGTGATGCTCCTGAGACCCGCTGCTCCCCAGGCTCCCATAGCCACTGGATGCGCTCCCGTGAACGGGCTGCAAGAGAGAGGGGCCCGTCGCAGCCCCGGGTGATGTGGCCGTCGGAGGAGAGACACAGCATTACCTACCTCTGAGCTTACCTACAGTCATCACAAAATTAAGATTAAAATTTCTGAAATCCTAAATGAGGTGTGTGAAGGATAATGCTGACATGAAAGACATTCCTCTCTCATCTTGGTAATTCTCAAGGGCAGAACCTACTTTTCTAGTCTAGGTGGGTATTTCTAGAACAAACGTTTTAAAAGCCACAGTAAATAAATTTAACAAAACATGAAAATAAACTCTAACTCTTTATGCTGAGTTTGGAATAGACAGAACAAATTAAATATATACTGTACTTTTCCCCAAGAACCTCAGAGATACTTTATGAACTCTAGAGACTGTATGAAAGACATTTTGAACACTACTGGGTAACAGTTTTAGTGACACCAATAGTAAATGCTTGACAAGTTTACTGATTGACTCTCTAGTAGAAAGCATTTTGGTATTTGTTTTCAACAAGCAGTTTTTCCTACTTTGGCTCATAATGACTAGAGATACAGAGACCTGCCACCCCTCTCCCCACCTTTAAAACTGTAATTATTAAAAAAAAAACAGTGAAGCCAAAACACGGGCAGCGTCTGGAATACAAGAATGATTCTCTCATTTAAAAATAACTTCTCTATCTCATTGCTTCCTATGACTCTGTTTGTCGTCTTAAATTGGATTCTTACAAAAAGTCCTGTGTATTTAACACAGAAAAAGGGAAAACAAAATTAATGAAATTTAATTTGAAAACAAAAAGAGGAAGATAAAAATTTCTGAAATGTACAGGGTAAGGATTTCTCTCTCCTCACGGTTTATTTCTGTGAAGTGACTTTACTAAGACTGAACGTTAAAATTAAAGACAATTATGGGAATATTATGTTTGTTTTTTAAAAATCTCTCACTTTACCTGTAAGAGAAGTCTGTGAATTTGTTCTTGTAATTCTGTTATGTCTTTGTCATTACTGTTCATCTTTTTTATTCCGGTGGCAAAAACATTCTCATTTAGTGGACTCCTACAAAATGCCAAGTGAAAGATTGAGTCAGACAATTTCAAGTTCATTTACAACGAAGGCTAAAGTGATTCTTAATAGAAAATTCAAACAATAAACCTATGCTTTTACAAAGCAGCTCTTCAAGTCCAAATATAGAAAATATGAAGCTCAAACTCTATTCATAGAGGTAGAGAGAATCCTAGGAAACAAATGAGGTATTAACCGTCTTCTTTAGTTTCTCTGCAGCTGTAGTCATTCTACCGCATCTGTATAAATTAAAATCAGTGGTGGGTATACCCCTAGCTACTAAAATACCTTTAACAGCTACTGGTCTCAGAATTTAACATGAACTGAGTAACCTACTGGCTATGAGAAATTTTAGGACCTTAAGCTTGGCAAACACACTGAACGCTTAATGCACTTAATCACTCAAGCTACCTAGTAAAGACGATTCTGCAGCCCACCCGCGTGGTGAACGTGTGGTTGCCACAAAATCTTCAGTCTCATTTATACCCCAGTTCTAGAGCATCTGAAATCTACCACCGGAATACAGTGAGAGGCAGACACGTCAGCAGAAAGAGCAGCAAAGACAAGCGACTGACATTCACTTAGGCCCCTCTATGCGACAGGAAGTGCTGTTTTATAACACACATCGAGAATAAGTGACAGTTTCTACACCCTTACGACGTGCCGGGCGCTGTGCCAGCCGCCCCACCAGGCACCCCCTTCCTCGCTTCCCTGAGCCAGACCCCGGCTCAGGTCCCCCGCTGTCAGGTCTGCCAGGTGCTCTCGGGGCCCAGAGTCCCGGCTCCAGACCGCACGCTCTCGGCCACCACACCGTCCGGCCTCTCGGCACCTCGGTCGCACTAGTGCTGCTAATACCGGACGTGCCGCGGGCCAGGCACGTCACCTCCTGAGTCCTCGCGACCCTGGGAGGTAGGAATCAACCCGGCAGAGGTGAAGAAAATTGCCAAGTTGCCGTGGCCAGGCGGCCGGGGCGCGTCTGAAGCCACACGCCCGACCCCCGAGCCGGCTCTCCCTCCTTTTCCTGTTACGCGTCCTGCACGCTGCCTCTCACACCTCAGACACTCGGCAACACTTCCCCAAAGACAGAAACTCCTAGCAGGAACGGCGGGACGCCAGCGGGGTCACGGGAGGCGTCAGGAAGAGGCCGCGTCCCCGGCACAGGCCCCCCGCCCCCGCCCAGACCCTGGGAGGCACCAGGCCCTGTCCGGGGGCACCGGCTCTGCGATGCGGGACGCGGAGGGCCAGCTGCACCTGGACGACAGCCTGACACTGGCACGTCTCAGGTCTCAGGTGCCCCTCCTCTCCTCCTCCCCCTGCCCCCGCCCTGCCCCACCCGCCGCTGGGCGCCAGGCTCCTCCCACGCTCCGTTAGCTCCTCTGGCGCCTCCCACGTCCCGGCATGTAAAAGCGTGGCTGCGTCAAAGAAGGGTCCCTGGGGGCTAAAGTGCATCCCCGTGTGCTGTGAGCCTGGATATCTTCCAGAGGCGTCTGGGCTGCTGTTCAAGTGCAATGCTGAGTGGAAACAGAACGTTCTGCTTTGTGCTATGAGGTGTGGATGTTCCCAGGGGTGACCCTTCCGACAAAACCAAGTTGGGCTTTTAATCACCAATTACAGAACTCAAAGGATTCGCCGCCTTCATCAAATGGTGTCAAGCTCGGCATGAAGCGTTGGCTGCGGCGGTGGCTGCGGCGGTGGCGGCGGCGGCGGACGTCAGGAAACGGGTCTAGGAGTAAAGAAGGAAATCTGGGTCCGTCTCCACTTTGCAACCTCCTGCCTCAATGATCGCCGGGAAAGTGACTCTGTTTCACAGAATGCGGGTTTGTTTGTTTTGTAAAATCAGAGGTAACTGCAACTAGCCTCCCTTCCCACAGAGCCGCTGGGAAGGACCTGGAGAAGAGCCCATAGCCCCCTCCCTACTTCAACTGTCACACTTTCCAAAACTCTGCTCAGCGCATCACAGTGCCATTGCTGTTTTCCGTTCTCCCATACGCGGTGGGCAGCAAAGGGAACGTCTGTTCTGTTTATAACCTCAGCCTCAGCCTAGCACAACGCCTGACTCAGCAGGTGGCCGTAAACACTTACTGAAGGAATAAATGCATTAAAATAATTTTATAAGCGTAATAGATAATTACTGTTCGATGAGAGAAATTAATACCTACTAGCCTCTAAACTCTTTCCCTCACATAATCCTGGATCTTGAGATGCAATTATTGGTGTAATTTTAAAAAACACTGAAAACATTGGGAGTACTAATATGTCGGTTTATTCCATATATTTTTAATCAAAGAACTGAAAGGATGGCTTGGAGAATGAATCTAGGATGCACCTCTAGCACTGACAGGGAGGTTCTCAGACTGGTCCACAGACACCCAGATGGACGTCTTGTCAGAGGAACTGTACTTGCTTTGGGGTTTCCTATATTCATCCTAAGCAACCATCTGATTTTTAAAAAATATTTATTTATTTGGCCGTGCCGGGTCTTAATTGTGGCACGCGGGACCTTTTTTGAGTTGCGGCATGCGGTATCTAGTTCCCGGACCAGGGATCGAACCTGGGCCCCCTGCATTAGGAGGGCGGAGTCTAAGCCACTGGACCACCAGGGAAGTCCCCAACCATCTGATTTTATTTTCATTTCCCAAGAGGTCTCCCTACTGGGAAAAAAAAAGTCCTTTCTGAGCAGCACGAATAGCACTTCCTTGGCAGTCATGTTCGTTACCTCAATTATCCAGTTAGTTTTCTACCACAAATCAGCCTCACGAGTCAGGGCGGCAAGGAGCCCGATTCTTCCATTAAAGCGGCAGAACTGCTCTGCTGAGAGGCCAAACCCTGGAGCACAACAAGGTCAGAGCAACCTGAGGCCTATCTCACCGTGGCCAAAACATCACTCTATCACGATATAACACGTGATAAAATACTCTTACTGGGAGATGTACTGTTCTGTACACAGAAGTTTTATTCTTCTGTGTACAAAGTTGTATAACAAAATACAAAAGACAGAGTTGCTCAATTTCAGCATGACACTGAAGAGTTAAGTATAATTTCCACTCTTAAAAGAAACAGACATCAAAAGGAAACTTATGGGATGGGCCAGTTAAGAAACCTATAGGTCAACTTTAAATGGACCACAAAGTCCAGGAACTACAGGAGTATCTCAGATTACAAGAACCGTGGTCCAGGTTGCTCTGGATCCATTTTGCAAGGTTGTTGTATGGGCAGGTAACAACAATCAAGCAGGCTTGGGTCAGCCATGCTGGCAGGAGAATAAATATGAAAGAATTTAAATATTAAAAATAAAGATTTAGGGACTTCACTGGTGGTCCAGTGGTTAAAGACTTTGCCTTCCAAGGGGGTGCAGGTTCAACCCCTGGTGGGGGAGCTAAGATCCCACATGCCTCGAGGCCAAGAAAAACAAAACATAAAACAGAAGCAACACTGTAACAAATTCAATGAAGACTTTAAAAATGGTCAACGTCAAAAAAAAAAAAAGATTTAATAAAATCGACACAAATAAGTGGAATTTGACAGCAGAAGGCTGATATAAAAACTTTTACATCCTCACTGAAGAGAACCTTAAAATTCAGAAAAGGAAAAAAAACAAAACTTCACCCAAAGTCCCACTATCCACACATAACCAAAATGTATTTTCTTTCCTTCTAATCTTCTTTTTCCTATTTCACAGTGTTCGTGTTTTAAACATAATTATAATCATACTGTATAAAAACTTTCTGTATGCCGCTTTTTACATCATCTAATATATCAATTTCCCACACTCGCTGTAAAAATTTTTATTGACCAATATAATAACATGTCATGCAGATATTTCAGAATCTACTTAACGATAGACATTTACGCTATTACAATTAAAAATGCTGCAAAATCTGTCTTTTCTTTATAAGGCTTTCTGTATTTCGGCTTCTTTGGAATATTCCAATAAGGGAATCGTTAGGCCAAGGAGGTAGAAATCTTATAAAGCCCTTGATACTTATTGCCAAACTGTCTTCCAGAAGCACTGAAGAAAACCTGTCCTTCGTTTAGTTCACGTGTTAGTTGATTCAAAGGGGAATCAACGGGCCAAAGAACATTATTTGGAAAAAGATTTTTTAGAAAATACGCAAACTGACTGACTTACGTTCGCACTTTATGCCGACCGGTGATGAAAGAAACCTTCCGGCTCCATGGGTTCACAAAGCTGGACCAACTGGAATCCAATACAATGTAATCCCCATTTTGAGAACAAAATCTAATGGGTGAATGTTCAAAGGGAAGATGGCCTGCATACTTCAAGACTATACAAAATAGTAAGACAAAATTAGAATTTATTTAACACGGATATTGATTACAAATGTCTTTTGTTAAGGCATTTATTTGTAAGTGTTTTAGAATGTCAAAATAGAAAAAAACATTGTTTCAGCAGTTCCAATACATTGCTTACCTGGTTAAAGGTTAAGCTCTAATGATTAGAGCTTGTGAGACCCTCTAGTGAGAAATGAAATGACAAACTTAAAAAGATCAATGAAAAAAAAATGTCCTCCTATAAAGAAGTAGGTCCTTACCTTTTTGGTGTATGGCGACCATCAGAGAACGATCTTCCGGGTGCAGGTATGTCAGGATGGATGTTCCAATGAGATCCTGAGGTAGGTAACCCAGCAAAGGCACTGCTCTGAGCACAGACACAGCACAGGCAGCATGTCACATGCACCAAGTAACTCATACCTTATATACTTTCAACCGTACTTTTCAGCTAAACTCTAAATATGACAAAGGGTATGCAAAAGATGTTCATTACAGCATTTATAAATGCTACAAACAACCCAAGTGCCTACATTGTGGGGAAGTAGATACACAATCTAAGAAGTGTTGGTCATTTGACATATTGCATCACCTGTGAAACTTCTAAAAAACAGATTTGCAGGCTCACCACAAGCTTACTAAATCAGAATTTCTGTGGTAAGACTAGGAGTCTATATTGTTAACAAGTTCCTCAGAGGTCTCTGATGCCCTCCATTTCGCTGCCTTTTAAAAAGTCTACAAAGATCACATTATAACATAGAAAAATGCTTATGATGTTACATGAATAAAGCAGGCTACAAATTTATACAGAATAATTAAAATTATACAAAAACAATGTCTCCCAAAAGGTGATATCAAATAGACAACCAGTCACAAGGCCATTTGTAGGATAAAGGTTCACGGGAAAATTCTGATGTACAGACACTCAAGATGACTTAGACAAAACTGACTCCAGAAACATTTTCTATGTGTACAAATTCACAAATACTTTCTATTGCAATAAACTTAAGCTGTTTTCAGAATAACTTCAGCTAAAATTTTCTTACCTTCTACAGATTATATTATACAAAGTATCTCACTAATTACTCTTTAGTTTCAGGGTAACTAAACGGTAATAAATAGGTAATAAACCCATTTCCAGATGTTAAAAAAAATTTTTTTAAAGCTTTTTTTTTTTGGCCGCATCACTCGGCTTGTGGGATCTTAGTTCCCCGACAAGGGATTGAACCTGGGCCCTCGGCAGTGAAAGCATGGCATCCTAACCACTGGACCGCCAGGCAATTCCCTGTATGTTAAAATTTTTTAAAATCCAAAATTAAGGGCTTCCCTGGTGGCGCAGTGGTTGAGAGTCCGCTTGCCGATGCAGGGGACACGGGTTCGTGCCCCAGTCCGGGAAGGTCCCACATGCCGCGGAGCGGCTAGGCCCGTGAGCCATGGCCGCTGCACCTGCGCGTCCGGAGGCTGGGCTCCGCAACGGGAGAGGCCACAACAGTGAGAGGCCCGCGTACTGCCAAAAAAAAACCAAAACAAAAAAACAAACCAAAATTAATAACTGTCATAACTGTGCCAGGTTTTTTGACATTTTTGCTTATGCTTATCTGTGGTACGGTACATTGGTTCTCAGATTTTCAGATTTCACAAATAAGTAAAATTTTTAAGTAAATGCGGGTGGAAATGGAGGGTACGAACAGGGGATAACAATGTTTTGTTTTTCCAAATAAAGGTATCAAAAAAACAACAATAAGCAACAACTATTATGTACTGTCACTAACTCTTTAAATAAGAAAGGCTATTTTAATAACCAAAAAAAAGGCAGGAAGGACGCTAAGTTCAAAATAAGTAACAGTTCTTCACACACAAAAAAAATCTGCCTTATTTTTCTCTTTTCCCCCACTTCAGACTAATAAAAATTCATTATAAACTGTTTGGGAAACACCTGCCTAGTGGAAATAACACTGGAATAGGACTTGGAGGCCAGAGTCGTGGTCTCATTTGGACCACAGTCATCTAATACCATGTGGCCCACGTTCATTGTCCTCTTGTGCAAACTGGAAAAATAATTTCTGACTTTCCTAAAGCTTTGAAATAAATATGATAATGTGTAAATCTTAGCACTATAACATGCAAGATATTTACATTAAAAATTTACACAACACGGGACTTCCCTGGTGGTCCAGTGGTAAAGAATCCACCTTCCAATGCAGGGGACACAGGTTTGAGCCCTGGTCCGGGAACTAAGATCCTACACGCCGCGGGGCAACTAAGCCCGCGCGCCACAACTACTGAGCTCGTGCATCTCAGTGAGACAGCTTGCATGCCACGAACTACAAAGCCCACGCGCTCTGGAACCCGCGCGCCGCAACTAGAGAGAAGACCGCGCGCCGCAACGAAGAGATCCTGCGTGCCTCAACAAAGACCCCGTGTGCTGCAACTAAGACCCGACGCAGTCAAAAAAATATATATATAAGGAAAATAAATAAATATTTAAAAAAATTTACACAACACAAATTTCAAACTACCAAAACTCAAATGCGCAAATGAATAGATTCAGCTCTATCATGTTACGTTTAACATGTTAAACGTTATGTAAACTTTTAAATATTTTTATTTATTTTCAGAAACAAATTTCTCTTAGGCTTAAAGAAGTACTTACCTTTCATCTATTTCAAGAAAAACACACCCGGGGGTGTGTGTTGTGGTAAAAATTCTTTTATCCACTGGGATTCCAGGAGCTATGGAAACCAGAAAGACTGGTTTAAAGGCAAATACCTAATTAACTATCCACTTAACATATTAAAGAGGGAACAAACTCTATAGGCCATGGCAGAAATCTCACCTAGGGACCTGGCCTTTGAGCAGCCAAAGCTAATAACTTTCATTATTAACCACATTTTAATTAGGTCAAAACGTGATGCCTACTAAAGTTAATTTTAAACGGACAGAAAGTCTGTGTACATCGAATAGCTTACCCATCACAATCTAACAGTCAAAGATGGGGTCATTTAGAGTTCAGGATAAAAATGTTTCATCATATTTAGTGGTTGAATACAACTAAGCAAATAGGATGTGAAACGTCAGTACAATAGGGACGTATTTAATCTGTAATAAAATTGGCACGGTCAGTGCTGCTACAGTCTGCTTTGACAAGGTAGTGATCAGCACATTAGGGAACAATTTGAGCATGACACTAACTCCGCATTTGCTTGCGCACGATTTCATTTGCAAGAAGCACGGGGTGAATGCAGAAAAGAGCAGCTAGTTGAGTGGAGTCACTTAGGAACGTGAAGAAACATGCACACACCTGAAACATCCACCTGCAGCCTCTGTTCACCAGGTGTGCTCTGAGCCACACCCGTCCAACCTGGTGATGGAACTTTCCCTCTGATTTCAGTCCGCCTTCCCCTCACCCCTCACAGTAATGCACAAGCTGCAGCCCTTCCAACACCCACGTCCACAGCAAACCGCAGGGCTTTTCTGCTGTGGCGAGCCGCATTTATTGTATCACTTGTGCATTTCTTCATCACTGAATGTGTAACACCGTGTTACCATTTTATGAGATTCCCGTCTTATTTTTAATGTATGGTTACTTGAGTGTTGTGCCCCTAAACTCATTTTTCCCATAAGCCCTGTGGTTTGTGTGAATTTTTTTGCACGGGATGGTAAGTTTTAGGAAAGCATATGTCACATTACAGCAGAACCAACTGTAATTTCAAATGATAAACGGAAGCTGCTTCTGTTTTGATATATGAACTTAGCAATGCTGTTCTGCCACTGGAAGACATAAATTATACTTTTTACGCAGGGGGCTTTCAAAACACTTAAAAATATAAATTCATTCTTGTAACCTCTGTATGCAACAATTTCAATGCTCTTCTGTCACGCAAGACAGAAGCAAAAGGCCACAGGATGGTCACCAGTAGAGAAAGGATTAGAAGACTGCGCATCTGTGGCCAAGTCAATGCTCAGACCTCTGGGCCATGCTGTCCTTAAAGGAGATGTGCAAACAGGAAGTCAAGGTCAGCAAACAGAGACGTCAGGGAAAATCAGCTCAGGGCCAAGCTGAAGACAGTGGCTGCAGTAAACAGGCTTTCACGTGCTTCTTTCTGATGTGCTGACACGTCACATCTGACCTAAACGCAGACGCTCCTGACCTACCTTCGTAACCAGAATGAATCTTCTCCACCAGCGTGAGACAGCAGGGCTCAGGCTCTGGGCGGGCCGAGCTGTGCACATGAATCAAATAGGGGATAATCCGGAACGGGCAGTGAGGCTGCCCCAGCTCCCGGGCTTCACCTCCACTGAAGAGAAGAAAAATGGTTTAGTACCAGTCCTGACCTGTTCACTTAGTCCAACGTGAAACAAGGCTGGGGAAAATGTTTTGTTGGTAATTTCCAAGAGAGACGTGTCTGAATCTAAAATGTTTAGACATATTTATTTATTTGTTTTGGCTGTGTTGGGTCTTCGTTGCTGCATGTGGGCTTTCTCTAGTTGCGCTGAGCGGGGGCTACTCTTCGTTGCGGCGCGCGGGCTTCTCATTGCAGTGGCTTCTCTTGTGGAGCACGGGCTCTAGGTGCGCGGGCTTCAGTAGCTGTGGCTCATGGGCTCAGTAGTTGTGGCTCGTGGGCTCAGCAGTTGTGGCTCATGGGCTTAGTTGCTCCGCAGCACGTGGGATCTTCCCGGACCAGGGCTCAAGCCCGTGTCCCCTGCATTGGCAGGCGGATTCTTAACCACTGCGCCACCAGGGAAGTCCAAAACATATTTATTTTTAAAAGGAGGGACACGTTAGTTTAAATTTTCAATAGCCACGGGCAATGATACTCGTTTGTTATTGGATGAGTAGGAGGCTTTCTGGAGAGGCGGCTCACCAAGGTGAGTGTGAACCGCTCACTAATTTCAGTGTGACTTTCTGTTCCTGCTGGGAAGAGGGGCAGGCACAGCCACCTGTCTTGCCTCGTGTATCTAAACCAAGTACCACATGGTGGAAAACAAGGCCCCCTGGGATCACGCCCCTAAGCCGGCCCTCCGTCAGCCCTTCCTACGCCCTCGTTCAAACGACCGATTCAGTCCCACCGCTTCAGCCGCTCCGCTGCCCGGCGCAGACCTGGTGTGTGGCTCAGCATCACCCACCGTGCCTAGCTACAGGGAGATGGTGGGGCTGGACCCTCTCGGCCAACTGGCGCGGAGGCTGCTCGCTCCCTCTCAGGAGGCTCCCGGGGGCGAGGGGTCTGCAACGAGCACACAGATGTCCATCCTGTTTCATCAGCCTGGCTGCCTGGAAGACGTTTCCACTTGGATCTGCCCGAACGTCCCAACCTGTATTTCACGCTCCCCCGTTTCTGCCCATCGCACCTCTCCTTGCCAACCATCACGAGCGCGGATGTTCGGGGGTCTCTGGCCGCCCTCCCGCTCTCTTTTCTCCTCTAACTCCAGCATCTCCTGTCACTTCTCCACTCTCAGCTGTGACCCTGCTTCCTAGGTCACCGCTCAGAAGAGCACCTTCTCCTGGCACTCACCTGCGAGCATCTGTACTTGTGCTAGTGGCTCCCCTCCCATTTCTGTGCGAGCTTTCTCCAGGCTCATCCCGTCCTGAGCTTCTCAGTGCCATCTATACGCCGATGACCTGCACATCTGTCTCTAGGCCGGCCTCCTCCCCTGAACCCCGGGCTCCTGGACCAACGCCTCATCAACATCACGAGGCAGATTTCTACTCGACACTGCACACTCACCTAAAACTAAGGCACACGCTCTCCCCTCTGCTCTCCACACAGCTGCTTGTCCTACAGTTTCCTCCTCCCCAAATACATGGCACCTTGAGCCAAGACTCCCACGTCATCTGACTACTCTTTCTATCTCGCACCCGAAACTAACCCACCAGTATATGCTGCTAGGTCTCCCCTGGCTCAGGAAAGGCACCTGAAAACATTTACCAACATAAGAAACACACAGAGCGCTTACTACGCGGCAGGCACTGCTCTCAGATCTTCATAACCAACAACTCACCTGCGAGTGACAGAAAGAACCGACATGGTCCTCCCCACACACGCACACCTTTCCAGGTTATCCCTCCCCAAGCATTCGAATACTCTTAGCGCGAGTCCCCCTCAGTTCCATGGAGTGTCTGAATGATCCATTACAAGGATTTCTCTTCCCCGCATATCAAGAGCATTTAGTAACCTCAATACTACTGTTGGTGATCATGACGTCATTTAAAACCATTTTTTCTTTTTACTTTGAAAGTAACATTAACGTATCAAAGTAAATTTGGAAGAGAAAAAAAAATCACTAATAAATCCTACCAGAAATCAACTACTATTAAAATTTTGATCTCTTTTCTTCTAGTTCACTGTCACTGGACCTTTTAAGTCCTCATAAATATACCTATCTTGCTTTCTTTCAGGTTGTTCAAACTTTCAAAAATTAAGTTTCAATGTGACTGAAAAACAAAAACAAAAGAGCTCCAAAAAACTGTCATCTGAAAGTATATTTCATGTCCAGTAGCTCTCACGTGCCCCTGGGTTAAGAATGATCTTTCTGGTCTCTTCCCCTATTGCATCATTATCTACTTTTCTCATAAGTACATGTATCTTCTCCTCAATCAAAGCACAAACTTCTTGCAGCAAGAACCAAGTCTTGTCTTTTGTATCCACAACAGACCTGGCTGAATAGGGCATCAAAGTAAGTGCCAAATAAAATCAGAGGGATGAGTTTGGGATTTGGGATTGACAGATAAGGACTACTATATATAAAACACATAAACAAAGACCTACTTTATAGGTCCTTATAGCATATATAAATATAGTTCCCTGTCCTTATAGCACAGGGAACTATATTTAATATCTTGTAATAACCAATAATGGGAAAGAACCTGAAAAAGAATATATATATGTATGTATATATGTGTATATAATTATATATATATACACACACACACACACACATATGTATAACTGAACCACTTTGCTGTACAGCTGAAACATTGTAAATCAACTATACAGTCAGTTAAAAAAAATAAATGAATAAAAAATAAAGTAAACCCAGAGCCCACCCCACCGCTCCTGGCCTCCAGGAGCTCCCACACTCACCGGATCCTGCAGAAAAAGGATTTCACCGGAGCGAATTCATAGCATGAGGCTGCTGGAAACAAACACACGTGTCAGTGTCCCGCCCGCACGCAGCTCCTCCCCAAACTGTCACTGCACAAAGGGGAGACTCTTATCAGGGACAGAGCTGCTCTTGATTAAAATAGGACTCTCCTCCCTCTCTAAGATCTAGTTTGATCCAGTATTTTCCCAGGGCTTTTTCGTGTTGAACAGTAACCCTCAGGTGAGACCCCGAGAGCACCTGACGGAGGCCTCTCCCTGTCACCCCCTGCAGTCCTGTCTGCATCTCTGCTCCTGCCTGGACTCACTGCTTCAAATGTCAACGTCATCACCCTGCGACACAGTTATTTCGCTGGTAATACTCTATTCCCCTGTAATAGTTCAGACACGTCTCAAAAACTGGGAATTCCGATTACTTAGAGCTTTCAGGTAGAGGATACATACACTTCTCTCCTTGGACAAATTCCCCAGAGCTGTGTTCCTAGATTAGATGATATCATTTCATGACTCTCATCATATATTGGCAAACTTAGCTCCAGCAGATGGTACCAATTCAGGGTCATTAATAACACTTTCTCACACCCCTCATGCCAAAGGTTTTGCTTCAGTTTTACTGACTTCGCATTTATTTTATTGATGTGTGAGGTGGTAATTCAGAAACATTTAAATTTGCCCATCTTAGGAAACTGAACTTATTTCCAAATGTCTGTTGATTACTTTATTTCGTCTGGTAGAACTCCCTGAATATACATCTTTTGGGCATTTATTCACTGGAGTGAAAAGTTTTCAGTTATAGAAACCAAGGAAATGTTTACAACCAAGGAGACGTTTTTAAAAAAATATACACTGAAGGAGCACCTACAATGAGGATTCTGAAGAACCAAAATACTGAACATGGTCCAGGTGTTTGTACTCCTAAGGAAAGGATCATAGGAAGAATAAGAAAATGGGCTTTTGAGTGATCAAGAAAAATGTTCACAATTAAAGAAAAGCCCTCCAGTTTAAAAGTAAAGGGACCAGTGACCAAAATCCTGTAATTCGTGAAACTATGAAAGTTACAGACCCAGAATTCTGAAGCCAGAAGTTCTTACAGAATGTCTGGGAGAAATAACAGAAAGAACTTGACAAAGTAAGCTAAAGAAATTAATTACTCTAAGATGTGCTATCATCTTAACACAGAAACTGTTTCTGGAGTTTCTGTGGAGGAATTAAGGCAAGATAAAGCTTTTTCAAAACTATCCTTGATTTTCTGAGCTGATTCTCGTGGGGGGGAACCGTCCCTCGGTGACACTTTCAAACGCTCGCCTTTGGCTGAGGACAGTTCTCCCGCTTTAAGGCGCAGTCCCAGCAGCCGTGGGGTCAGACGGGCTCTGGATGCACGCTGCCAAGGTGAAGGCCGGCTCCATACTTGCAGGCAGTGTGGCCTTGGCATCTCTGCGACCATGGCAGCTAAGAAAGGGCACAGTTGCTGGCTCTGAGGGACCCGACTGTTGCCTGAGCCCCGCTTCCCGCGGGCTGCCCCCGGCCCGTGCCCGTACACGGAGCAGGCAACGAGGCAGGACCATTCCATGGAGACGCTGGGCTCCTCCAGCGGATGGACCCCCTCTGGCTGCGCGGCCCAGAAGCTCTCTGGACTGCACTGCAGCCCGAGGCTCCTGCTGCCCAGCACCCCCCCCCGCCTCGCTCCTTCCAGCGATGCCAGCGATGCGGGCTGAGGGCTCCTCTCACCACCTTCCACCCGCTCCCCCAGTCAGCGTCCCGCTTCTGGGCAAACCCGAACTAATACAGTTACTGTGTCCATCTACCACGGAGAATGACAGTACCTACACCTCACAAGGTCTTTGTGAAGATTAACTCAGTTGATCCACGAAAGCAAAGAGAAGGGTCCCTGGCAAACAGTAACCGTTCAACAGATGACAGCAGTTGAGATGAGCCTTTATGCTGCGGACGCTCCAAATATCTCCAAGCCTTCCCCAACCTACAGCTTGCTGGGCTCTCACAGAAAGCCTGTGTTAACAGGCACGTCAGAAACTATGATTCTCATTTTACAACGAGAAGCCAAGTGGCCTCCAAGGTTCACGAAGGGACAGAATGCAATTTGAAACTCAGACCTTCAGATTCTGAGCTTAACATTCTTTGCACATAAAAAAATACTGCAACTCTGTTGTAAGGTGAACTTACTTACACTACTTATACATGGCAGCAGGCACCTGAATTCAACTGCCCCCCCCGGAGTCCTGTAACACAGAGAGCCAGCCTACCGGATCTCAAAGACAGTAGACGGGGGCCCGCTGTCACTTCCACACCTGGGCTGGAACGTGCGAATTCTTGTTTCTGGAAGTGTGTTCTAAAGAAACAGCGGTCAGATCCTTCTGAGAGGTCTGTACGACAAGCCTAAGTGGAAATGTGCTCTAACACAGGGCCAAAGCTGACAACGGCTGAGTTTAGAGCTTCCGGGGTCCTCTTAATGTCCTATGAGTTCAAAGGAAGGGACAGAAAGAGGTAACATGAGCACAGCCCAGAAATGGTGTGGAGCTAAACAACGGCCCTCAAGGAGGGTGTGGATCCTTGGGGTTCCTAAAGCGAAAGTATAGTGTGAGAAGTAAACTAAATGGCCATCATCTTTATGGAGCAAGTAAATGTTTAGGTCCAAGAGACAACACTTTCAGGGACTATTATGTTTTTACAAGTAGGGGAAATACCATTAAGTAATTAGCAAAGATAAGAAAGTGAAAAGATCAGGGAATTCCCTAGTGGTCCAGTGGTTGGGACTCCGCACTTCCACTGCAGGCACATAGGTTTGATCCCTGGTCGGGGAACTAAGATCCCGCAAGCCTTGCAGCACAGCCAAAAAAAGACAAGTGAAAAGATCAGACAGAGACTATAGGGCAATACCGAAGGGAAAATGGGAAAGACCTGGTGAACAGTAGTACCACATGTCAGTTCTGTTCACTGTTGTACCTTAGCACCTAGAACAGCTCCTGGCCCACAGACACTGCTATATAATGTCTACGGAATGAATAAACGATGAACAAAAGCAGAGAAACAAACGTGGACAATTAAAGGTTGAAAACGCATGTTTCGGAAAGAGGAAGAAAAATGAAGTCAGTGTTTTTGAATGAAGGCAAAAGGAGAGAGGGAGCTGGAAGAAAGCAAGGGTGACAGGTGTCTTTTCTGAAGCTTATACGAAACGTGCACAGAGAATGGGGCAAGGGTCTGGGATTGAAAAAAGAAGGCTGTAACACTGTTCTTCACTGGACTGAGAACTGGATTAAAAACCAGAATGAGTACAGAGCTCTAGATTTGCAGGATGAAGTTCTGAGGACCTGTTTCACAACACTGTGAATGTACTTAATGCTGCTGAACTGTACACTTGAAAATGGTTACGATGGTAAATTTGTGAATGTGTTTTTTACCATAATAAAAATAATCAAAATTTTTTTAAAATGAGAGAAAAGGGTTTGGGATCAAAAAGGAAGCTGATCTTTACTAAGTTCTTTAAGAGACATTTCACAAAAAATATGAGATAGGGAATAAAGGGTGACTTAAGAAAGAATGAATGGGACTTCCCTGGTGGTGGAGTGGTGAAGATCCTGCCCTCCCAACGCAGGGGACCCAGGTTCGATCCCTGGTCAGGGAACTAGATCCCACATGCATGCCGCAACTAAGAGCTCGCATGCCTCAACTAAGGAGGCCGTGAGCCACAAGTAAGGAGCCCTCAAGCCACAACTAAAGAGCCCACGTGCTGCATCTAAGGAGCTGGAGAGCTGCAACTAAGGAGCTCGCCTGCCGCAACAAAGACCCGGCACAACCAAATAAATAAATAAATTTTTTTTTTTAAAAAAAGAATGAATCAAAGATTACATGGGATTGAATAACACAAAGAAAACTGTGAGTGGGAACCCACTCCCCACCCCCAGTTCAGGAAAAGCAGGCTTTCAGAAGGAAAACAAAATGATGAGATTCATAACTTTTGGGGAGAAGAAAAGCTAGAAAGGGATCTAACTTTGAGAAGCTTACCTCCAGAGCAAAGCAGAGAAATATGAAGTCAGTATAAGAGGAAAAACATTTAGTTTTATTAACAACAGACACTTTGTAGCAATTAACCTGCTATACATGATGCTGTAACACACCATATCTATGGCATATAGTCTGTGAAACTAACTTGATTAAATGAAAACAAATTTATTGGATCTTTATGTTATTAGCAGCATTTAAAATGCTATTTTCATCACATTCTGACTTTTAAAATGAAGAAATAAGAAAAACTATGTATTTGCATGTTCTGAATAAGGCATTCATTTGTGTACTATTTCTGGAAGAATGAAACTGATCTTTACCAGGCAAGATAAACATCTGAATATTGGTCCCATTACCTCTTTGGGTCCAGTTGTTCCAGAAAGGAAGCTGAGCGTGGGCAGTGTGTGTGTAGAACGCCCTCACGTCTTGAGGGGCGAGCAGTTCAACAAAATGAGAGGACTCTAAGAACTCTTTCTTACAGTGCAGGATCGAAGGAGCCTGTTCAGAAACGTGCACTAACCTTCCAGACAGAAATGAAAAAACTGCCACGAAGGTATCCTACGAAAAATATTTAAAATAAATGCAAAATATTGAGATACATACTGGCAATATTCCCTGAATAAATTTCGTCTAGACGTCTACCATGAACAATAGCTTAATACCATGATCAGTAGCTTAAAACACACACACACACACACACACACACACACACACACCCCTGCAAAGGCAATAAATCACTGTAAAACCTGCATTGTTCCCTCTGAAGGTTTAAGTTCTGCCAAACAATGCACCAGCTCATTCTACACGGACTAAACACAGTGTATACACTGTGTACACTTCTGATTCCTTCTCCTTTGCAAACTGTACCTGGAAGGACTGCCTTCTCTTCACCCATATGCATATTCCAGGCTTCAAGACCAAGCTCAAGATTCACTTGCTCCAAGACGTTGTCTTTGACAAGCCTCACTACATAAGAATCATTTCTCTAATATGTTCCATTAGACATAAACATAGCTTATTTATAATCGGCCACTGTTTGTACCTGCTAGCAAGTGGCGTATGTTTTCCTCTCTAGATTTACTTTGAATATCTTAAAGGGAAAATGTTTTCCTTAAACTTTTTTTCCCTTAAATCTCCATAGCACCTACTACAGTATTATAAACACATCAGTTAGTAAAATAAGCACTGTAACATTAGGGATAGTTCATGCTCCAATATTGTAAAATCTTTAAGTTACAATTATGTTGAGGTCTACACGTAAATTAAGTAATCTCTATCATATCAGCAAAACATGAGGCTCAATTATTCTGTCAACATAAAGATTCAAAAAAGATATACTAAATATCTCTTCCAAAATTTTACAAAAAATGACAGCATCTCAACTCACCTGTTCTATAAAATCCAGTTGTTACAACTTGAAGTAGTAGGTATTGGAACTAAGAATGATATAAATAGAAATTAACAATTCGGAGATAGAATAAGATGCAGGAAATCACTCTGCAGTGTTATTTTTTTCTTCATTTGAGAGAACTCAGGGATGCTAAGGAGAGAGAGACACCTCATGACGGAAGCAAAGCCAACTACTACTTATGTGTTGCTTCCTGTTTTTAGATGTTTTCTCTGGCAAGGGCAGGAGAAACTCCACAAGGCCTCTTTAGCAGTTTTCTCCTATGCTTGACCTCAAATTGTAGTTACTGAAATGCTCAGTTATTATTTAAAAAAATCTACATCTAGATAACATCGTTAGGAAAAATCACCCAGGTTGATATGGCAAAATTTGTGAATTCTTACTGTGTTTTTGGAAGTGTGCTCTGAAGCAATAGTGGCCAGCTCCTCAAGACTGTACGTGGTCACGTCTGCTTGAGGCGCTCCATTCTGATTGAGAATCTGGAAAAACTCACTGTTTGCTAAGAAACACAGGAAAATAAACAGGTAGTCCAGTGACATTTTTTTATTTGTTCATTTTTTATTTATAAATATAAAAAATATTTATTCATTTTTTATCAGTATAAAAGCAGGCTTGTTTTTTAGGATGAGGACACCTCAGCATGTTTTCCTTGAAACCAGATCATTTTCTTCTTTCAACTAAAATACTGACAGCTGTACAAACTTAAGATTTTGAATTTTATGAATTCTGCATGTTCCAGATCACAAGGAATGAGACACACTGAAGGTACCAAAAGAAGGTACTGAAACCCAAAATTCCAAATACACACACAGGAAATCTGTATGGCAGAAACATTATTCCAGGATTCAGGAACTATATACCATCTATGAAGCCACAGAGGTTTGTGCTACAGACTGTGTATTTTTAAAATCCCTTGAGAAGAAGTCTGAAAAGCCATAAAAAGAAAAAAATGTTTACAACCATTCGTTTTTAATTTGGTAAATTCCTGATACATCATGACTGTATTTTAAAAGTATGTCTATGGCAGGGAAATGTAAATGTATTTAATCAAGCGTATTTTTCCCCTAATAGTCACAGAAGACAATATTCTTTTAAAAAGTGAATCTTCAAAATGTGCTTATACCGAGCTCTACTCTCCTGAAACAAATCAGCAAAATACCGCACAGTTACTAAGCTATGACACAAATTAGGTTCTCCGAGTGCTCATGTGAAAAACTAAGATGCTAATGCCATCAGTGCAGATTTGCACATCTCACATAAAGCACCATAAAAAGCTCAAAACATTTCTGTGCCTAAAACCAGGCAGACAACTGCTCTGGCCCGGCTGCTGTTTACGAGCAGTGGTGTCCGTGCACGACTGTATTCCCTCTCCAGCCCGTTTACCTTGCACGCTGTGTACGCAGCGAAGGGCATAGTTGAGAGCATCCAGGGTGCTTGGTTTACTCTGTCTCTCTGACCGAAAGTATTTTTTCATTTCTTGGACAACCGTTATAAGGTCTTTGGAAACTCTGTTTTGATCTTGTGGTTCACTGTAAGGTAAAAAGATTCTAAATTCACACTTTCGATTATAATAAGTCAACTTTTACTGAACAGCGTATTTCATGCCAGGCCCGCTTTCTAAGCCCTTAACATGGATCAGCTCATTTAGTTCACAGATTTATTATCCACCACTTTTTTTTTTTTTTTTTTTACAGGTGGAGAATCCCAGGCAAAGAAATTGGTAAACATCAAGCATTTTCCACTCTCTTATTCCCACTTCAGCCTACAGTCAGCTAAATTCCTCAACCGCTTTTTACCTTTTGGTTAATTTCGTTCAGTTTCTCCAGGGTATTTCATTCTAAGTTGTCTGAGTCTCTTTAAACTTTTTCCTAGGCTTACAAACAAAATATAGAAAGATGTAAGCCCGCCTTTCCCCTCTACTACCCCAGCAGAGAACAACAAACACATCAGGTTATTTCACCTGTTGCTGGTCTGCACGTATTTGCTCCGCAGCTGGTATTTCCGGCTCCACATCTCAGCAGAGTCCTTCCCCAGCGCCTCAGGACCGCTGGCCTGTGGTCCTTCAAGTTCATGAGGCTGCCTCCGCCTAGAGTCCTGAGATTTACCACCGGACACTTCCAGATCTTCACAGGGATCCATCGCTCGCCCGGCAGTCCTCAGCCTGTCGCCTACTACTTTGCTACTTTGCGATCGGCGACGGAAACGTACTTCTCATTTTGGTCCAGGCCATCGTCTCAGAGAAAATGTCAGTCATCACAAGCCAGCAAGTAGAGGTACTCTTTCTGTTCCTCCGGGGGCACTTTTCTCCCCAGTATTTCCCTGCAGTCTTGGACGTCTCCGCTCACGGGAGGTCCACCGTGGAGGGGGACGGTGGAAACAAAGGTGACAAGTGTCAAGAGAAACACAATCTGATGCTGGAAGCTCGGCTGTGGCTCGCGGGCTGGGCAGCCCCAGGGGGATCCCGGCTCCGGCCGCCCCGAGAGTCGGCGTGCACCCAGGACCCGCACCCGGCAAGGGGCAACTTGAAGCACAAAGTTCCCTCAGCGCAGGACAGGCTCGGGGCGACCGCGCCCGGCGGGCCCCGAGGCCTCCCCGCCCGGGCCGAGCCCTCACCCGCCGCCGCCGCCTCCCGCGGACCCGCGCGCCGCCGCTAGCCCAGCTGACCCGGGCCCATACAGTCTCGAGGCCACCAGCGTGCCGGACGGTCGCTGGCGCCGCACCCCCAGCGCACCACGTGACGCGGTCCCGCCCCTGGGTCGCGCGATTCGCTGCCGCTGCCGGCTCTGCGGGACCCAGTTGGCCTGGGGGCGGGACCCGCGCAGGGGCGCCCCGGTTACATAAGCGGAGGCGTGTGAGCGGGGCAAAGGTCCCGGAGCTCTTTACGTAACGCCGGGGGTCGGCCCGAGGACGGCGCTCGGCCAATCCCGGCCGGCTGGCACGTAAGGAGGGGGCGGAGGGGCCCTGAGGAGGCTCCAGTCCCCGCCCCGCTCCCGGCCCCGGGGGATGGGCCCCGGGGGCCGCTGGAGCGAGCGCGGCAGTGGTTAGGGCGCTGGAGCCGCCAGTCATGAGGGGGCGGGCCCCGGGCGGCGGGGTGGGCGGGGCCTGCGCGGCCTCCACGTGAGCGGCCGCGGCTCCCCCAGCTCCAGAGTTGGGGAGAGCGGCGCAGCGCGGAGGGCGGATCGGGACCACGCTTGGCAGACGTCCCAGCGCTTTTCCTGCGTCTTCTCGGGTTCCCGTCGTTTCCATTTTTCTTAACGACCTTCTTGCTCTCGCTCCTGCGGACTCTTAAGTGAGGGGCTGTGAGGACCCGGCAGTGTAGCAGCCCTGGAAAGATCAAACCCGGTTTTCAGAAGCGGAGTTCTGACAGCGAAACTTAAAACATTTCCCTGGTCTTCCCAAAGTTAAAGATTCACTTAGCAACTGGAGGAAGACAAGTGTCTGTAAAAGACATTATTTTGGGAAAGGAAGGTGTAGAGAAGGTCTTTAAGAAACACCGTCGGAAGACTCTTTTTATTTGTGTCTCGACTCCTCCGAAATGGAAGGTGCCTTGTAGAACTCCGCCCCTCTCCGGTGCCTGGTACATCAGAAATCTTAAGTATTGGTTGGATGAATGAAAGGAATTGTAAATAAGAGGAGGGGAAAGTGAAGTGTGGTAACTGTTCATATTAGGTGTTGGATAAACCACCTTATTTCTCCAAATGATGCTTACTCTCTTCTGAATCTCTATTTTGTTAAACTGCATTCATTCAGCAAATATTTACTGAGTGCAGGTCTGGGGATGGCAGGTTTTGATGAAGGGAGAACAGAGAACTGTTTTCCACATGCCATGTTTGAGATGTGCACTAAACATCCAAGTGGAGTGAGTGGTCAGGTAGGCAATTGGATCTCCCAGCTGGGAACTTAGGGGAGAAGCCGGGGGTGGAGATACAGCTTACATTTGGCAGTCGTCAGAGTCTCTATGGAGTTTACAGTGATGGGTGAAATGGTGTCAGTGAGAGAGTGCCGATAGAGAGAAAAGGGCCAAAGACCAAGATTTGGGGCACACAGAGATTCAGAGGTCAGGCAGAGAACCAAGCAAAGAATAAGGAGCCATAGATGAGGCTGAAAGAAAACCAGAAGAGTGTGGGGTCCTGGAAGCTTGATAACGAAGCATTTCAAGGAGAGAGCTGGCAACTTTACCAAATGCTGGTGATAAGCAGAGTGAGACAAAGGCTGAGAATTTCCTGTTGGGCTTCAGCAAGATGGTGACCTTGGTTAAAGACGTCTCAGTGGTGTGGATTGAAGAAAAGTAGGATGTGAGGCAATGACTACAGGAAGACATAGGGAGGAATTTTGCTGTGACGAGCTATAGACAAGTATTTGTTGGCTGGAGGGAGGGATGTGGGCATCACTATTAAGTGATGGGGTGATCCAATAAGAAGGGAGAAGTGAATGACGCAGGAGGGAAGGGCTGCAGACAAGAGGCAGTTGCCAGAGAGAAGTCCTTCATGAGGCTGGGGATCCAGAGCCTTGGCCAGAGGCAGGCACTTCTCCCAACAGGGGATTGTCCGTCTTGGCGGTATAAAGCCAAGTAGAAGATTTCTAAATGCTCTTAGCTTGCTATTTAAAGGATGAGAAAAAAAAATTATTTTCTAATAATTATGCCATAATTGGTTTATTTAGTAAATTCTACTTTTACAGATTGAATTTTCTGCTACTATGAAAAGCAGCTCAGTTGGAAATAAGTTTGCTTATTTTTAAATGCACTAAGCAGTCTGGTCAATTTTATTTTATCTTATTTTTAAGGTATTATTTATTTATTTATTTATTTTTGGCTGCATTGGGTCTTTGTTGCTGTGTGCCGGCTTTCTCTAGTTGAGGCGAGCGGGGGCTACTCTTCGTTGCGGTGTGCAGGCTCCTCATTGCTTCTCTTGTTGCGGAGCACAGGCTCTAGGCGCACGGGCTTCAGTAGTTGTGGCATGCAGGCTCAGCAGTTGTGGCTCACGAGCTCTAGAGCACAGGCTCAGTAGTTGTGGCGCACGGGCTTAGTTGCTCCGCGGCATGTGGGATCTTCCCGGACCAGGGCTGGAACCCGTGTCCCCTGCACGGGCAGGCGGATTCTTAACCACTGCGCCACCAGCGAAGCCCGAGTCTGGTCAATTTTAAAGCAAATAATGAATCATCATTCAGAACCAATAAAAAAGTTACCATACTTTAAGAAACATTTTATTGGTGATGCAAATCTAGAATTATCGTGTAAGAGACACAAGTCATTAGAAAATACAAGACACGGGGAATTTGCCCCCATTCTTTGACTGAAGTTGTTGACACAAAGGAAGATGTTCACAAACATTCCATTTCTCCTCTGGGTGACAGACAGGACTCCCTCCCACCTCTGAGGTGAGCCATGGTCACCTGACCAGCTTTGGCCAATGAAACGTGAGCAGAGCTGCCGGCTCCACTTCCAGGCGCAGGCGATGAGAGCCAGTGCACAATTCCTGCCGGTCCCTTCCTTTCCTTCCGCAGTGATAACCGGAAACGAATGTTTACAGGAAGTCCCCTCACCCCACCCCCCAGGGACTGACGAGAGAGCCTTCCTCCTGACTGGCGTGGGACACAGAGCACGAGCAAGGAAAAAACTTTGAGCCGTGGCGATTTGGGAGGTGTCTGGTACATAGCACGCCTCCAGCGTATCCTGAGTGATGTAGATGGTGACCAAAAAGAGCAGCAGGTCCAGTGGATTTGGCTAGTGTGGTCACTGGGTAGGTGATGGTGCCATTTCTGGAGCAGACACTGTGAATGATCGGAGGAGCGGCACGGGGCAGGGGATGTTTCCTCCTGTCTGGTGAACGCTGCGTTTGAGAGGCTTACGTCCAATAGGCCAGGCCTCATCCGCAGATGAATGAATAGCGGGATCATGAAAGCAGGTAAGATTGCGTGGGGAGGGTAAGTAGAATGGAAACAGAAGCCCCTAAGGAACCCTGACATTTAAGGGAGAAGCAGAGAAAGAGGAACCGCTTTAGGGTAGATTCTCCTTTGAAAATGGCACCGAAAGTTCATACGCATTTCATTACATCATGCTCCCGAACAAAAGGCACGATTCCACACTTAGTACTTTCCCAGGGACACAATCGCACGCCAGACAAGAAAAGCAGTGACTGTCTATCCGAGGCAATGGAAAAACGTCAACCTGCTTATCGCAGGATTCTACTGAAAACTGGCATTTTATTGTGAACATACGCAAGTCTCCTTCCACCCATAGTATATTGTTCCCTAGGGCTCGCAGAGTAAGAGTGGAAGTACATTCAAGGGGAAAGATATGCAGAATGAAAACAAGAGGCGTCCCTCTCCCACCCAAGTCATCTTCCCACGCCCCACGTGGGCAGCGACCTGGTCCAGCACACACCGGCCGGCTCTATACTAGTCACTTCTGAAAGACCATATATTTAAGAAACTCAAAAGCCAACTTCTGAACGTTTTAGGAATCATAAGAAAGCCAGTTTCCCACTCATCTCCTCTACTGAAAAGCACTTTCCACATGGGGAGTGGTATGCAAGGAACTCAGAGTCCTCAGGGAGGGGACTGGTGAGAGAGCAAGAGAGGAAGGGGACTTGGGGTCTGTAAGGGCGACGGGGGTTGAGCAGCAACCCTACAAGCAACACAAGCACTGAGTTATGTTTATAAACACTTTATTCAGTTTGTGATAGTGGGCGACTTCCCAGCTAAATGCACAGATATAGGCGAAGTATTCCTGGGTTAACGCAGCAGCCAGTGGGTTACGTGGGACTGAGCATCGAGGCCAAGGAGAGAGCACCGAGGATTCAGAGTCGACCCGGCCGGAGACCTGAGCCGAGGGTGGGCCAACGTCCCAACACTGACAGCTGCTCCCTTCTTCCCAGGTGGGCACACTGCAAGGCATATTTTCAACTTCACACCATTTCACTGATATCAGGGGAACAGATATTACAGAAATGGAACCTGGGTCCTGGTGCACCTTAACTGTTGCTTTGTAAGTCACAGACTAGTGTGTGAACAAGAATTTTAGAATATTCCGCTAACGGTGAGCCACAGGGTGGTAAGACTCCTTTCCCCCTCAGTGCCTCGTCTGTTTTCATTCCTACCTGAATTCCTGTCCTTAAGCCACACACCCTGATGTCCAAAGTCTCACGTACACAACAAAAGCCTCTCAGATGACAACAGCTATTCCCAAAGCAGCATCTTATGCAGACAGTCTGTGACATCAAAGAAAGAAAGTGTCTCTGGTTAGCTATCCTCTGTAAAAACTCGTTCCCGCTGACCAACGCCTAATCGAGAGCATAATTTAGAAGGCAGATTTAGGAAGTGGACTATGGATCAAAATAGGAAACAAACCCCAAAAAGCTATCGTCCGTGGGAACTGGACCAGAAAATGACCAGTTCACAGATGGTCTCACTTGAAGACTACAGAACTGTTGGCCACATATTTATTAGAAACATATTGGAGTCTACAGCCGGTAATCTGCAAATGGCTGGGTAAAACTCTGTCTACAGGAATGAGATGGTCAGTCGAGCTCAAACCTTCTCTAACCCCCAGGAAAAATGCTGGGTCGGAAGGAGAGTCGCAAGACCTACAGCCTTTCAAGGGCAAGAAAGGCCTGCCAGGATGTCAGAGGTTCACACACAATATTACAATTTTAATTCTGAAGGGCACCTTGAGTCCCACTGGTCACTTTTCTGAACTT